TAATTACTATATATTTATCATTAATCTAAAAAAATTTCAATTTATATTTACAATATTAACTATTTACAAAATTAATATTAATCTAAGCATATAGCTCTAAAAAAAGAATACAATCAATGTAATCTCTAATTCATCTTTTCATCGTTACCATCTTGATTGTCTTTACCGTCTTATTTCAACAAATATTGTCTGAATTTCTATTTAATTAATACTAATAGTAATGTCGGCTATATTTGATGCGAAATATACAACAATGAATATACATGGATTCCCCTAATGTAATATATTGAATAACTCTCCTTGTATAAAATAAAATAAAAAAAATTATTCGTTAAAAATTTTTTCCATAGATGCAACGATATTGACTTTGGCTACATTGTATAGTACAATGGCTTGTAATTATAATATATTATCATATATTATGATATTACTTTGAGTATTAATATGTATTTCGACCTAGTAATATTCCTCTACAAGTGCTTATTATAATGCCAGGAGATAAGCCAAAAAAGAAATAAAAAAATGAATGCTGTAACTAAAACATTCATTGATTGATATTGAGGAGAAATACTACAATAATGTGCTTAAAAATAGAATAAGGAAAGACCATAAAAAAAAAATGGTGGTCCGTCAATTTTTGTTTTTTTGTTTTTTTTTTTAGAAAACCTTGTACATAAATAAAATTTACAAATACAGTAGTAAGTTATAGTTTATTTTATTTTATAATATTTAAATTTTTAAACGTTTATCATAAATTATCCTAAAAGATAACGTAGACATACCTGTTCATAGCAAAGTAAAAAAAAAAAAATATTAGACGAGTTCCCATCATCTATGGATTAGCTTTCTTGTTTTTTTGTTTTGATTCATATTCGTGCCAATCTCCTAAGATTTCGGGAAGCCTATAAAAAAGTACGTTTTGACCAGATAAAGAAAGACCATAGAATAAAATGATATATTGAAGTGTAAATACGAAAAAATATACTTACTCTGAGGGTGAACAAGCATGTGGACTTTCAGTCGTGAAATAAGTATAATTTAGTGCTTTAAGAGCCGACGGCCTTTTCTTTGGATTTACTGAAAGTAGTGATTCGACCAACTGAAGTGCACACGGAGATAACATACTAATCCCCAAAATATTGTTAGTTAAATATTACATTAATAAGGTGTATGCATTTCAATTAATACTTACTGTTCAAAATGTTCACGGAATTTAGAACCTTTCGGACCATTTCGTTTTGCCATTGCATACCATGATAGGTCCGTTATTTCGGGCCACTCTTTTTTGTCTGGCACGCCCATCAAATTGAAGATGCTATCCAGTTGTGAAAACTCGTCTTTACCTTGAAACAATGGTTTTCCCGTTATTAATTCCATCATTATGCATCTAAGAAATAACCAAGATTTTAGGTCAATTAATACAATTATCCATTAAATTCCATAGTGTAAGGAGAATAAAATACTATGATATGTACCCTACACTCCATAAATCGACCTCACAACTATATTCTGTTGCTCCGAGACATAACTCTGGGGGTCTATACCACAACGTTATTACACGATTGGTGTAATCGTGCTTATTTTTAATATCAAATTGACGGGCGAGTCCGAAATCCGCCAACTTTACTTCTCCACGATTGTTTAATAAAATGTTTGAGCCTAGATATTTGCATGAACGTATTTACTATTTTGATCCATATACCTAAAATATATATAGGAAAATTACCTTTTATATCACGATGTAAAATTCCATTTTCGTGAAGGTGGGCTAAACCTTCTAAAGTTTGCTTCATAAGGCATTTTACGTGTTGTGATTCATATTTGAGCTTCGGGTTCGCGAGAACACCGGTTAGGTCATGTGCCATATATTCAAAGACCATGTATACGAAGCCTAATAATTTATAACAAGTTTAAATTAATAAGCTGAATAAGATTCAGAATCTAGGGAAGTTAATTATTTGCGTTGAAAAAATATATATATGTATTTTTTTTTTTAGATGATGCAAAACATTTATTTACTCACCTTGGAAAACCATTATCTCCTTTAGTTGCACGACGTTTTTGTGTTTGCATTGCTGCAAGAGTTTAATTTCACGAATTGCCGTGAGAGGAAACTGCTAGAATGACGGATATGAGTAACGTGACTTTCCAACAAAAAAAAATAAAAATCGTTTTTTCACCAACCTACCCCAGCTTCCTTTTCTTTCTCTGGATCCATACGTATCTTCTTCAATGCCACTATTTCTTTTGTCTCGCGATTTCTTGCTTTGTAAACCTTACTATAAGGTCCAAGAATGTAAAAATCATTACATCAAATGTAAATATTATTTAAGTGAAAGCACGATCGATTATTTACCCGTAGGTGCCCTCTCCTACTTGACTCAAGATTTCATATAACTCGGCACATTTTTTAACGGTCACCGGAGTGACTTCAATCGGAGATACATGAGACTTTACAGATCTTGTCCCTACTGTTGGTTGCTGCGATATATGAGTTGGTTGTATCGATTGTATTGGCATCGATGACTGTGGGTAAGACGTATGTGGCGATATCGGTGATCGCAGCTGTGTAGTCAGTTGTACATTCATATGAATGTTGGCATGTGGTGGATTTGGAGGTTGTGGAGGTTGGGGTGGTTGGGGTGGCATCGCGTGCTTATTTTCCATATGATGATTATATCCCATACTATCAGCACCATTCATATAAGGATTATATTGGTTTTGATAATGATCGTATGGATGATAATACGTCTCCTGGTAATGATGACCAGGAGGTTGTGGATGATAATTTTGATCCCAGGTCGGTATCTGAGGAGGTAATTGTCCTTGAAATGGTGCAGGCTCCTGATATGGTGTTTGTTCGTAATGAGGAAGAACCGGATGAGTTCCAGGTGCTCCTGGTTGTACTAATTGCGCAGGCTGCCTCTCGTGATGCTCATGTTGCCCTAGGTGACCCAAATGTCCTGATTGATTCTGATTATGTTGAGCCTGTTGGCCAATTTGACCAGGCGGCCCTGGAGGAACATGTGAGCCATGTAAATTAACATGTCCAGATACACCCGGGGGTCCAAGTTGAGGTGATAAACCTGGAGCATGTTGACCTGGAACTGGGATCATTGTAGGTCCGTGTGACACAGGAGGATGTGGTCCGTGATGCCCATGCGGTCCAGATGATCCGGCAAGACTTGTGGAATTCCAATTATTCTGCGCAATCCCATTTTGATGTTGATATTGTTGATGGTACCGGTCTTGATGCCAAGGAGGTTGCCTTTCCTGTTGTCTGTTTCTTGACGGTCCATTATTATTATCACGTCCATAACGTGAGGACCTGTCATTATAATGTCGATGACCCCAACTATCTCTCCTATCACGAGATGCTGCACCTTCTCTGCAATATGAACCGTCTCTGTACGTTGAACCCCCATCACGGTATGACCGTAAGTTGCGTTCATTATATTGTCGAGATCTCCAACCGCTATCTTGACTCTTATCTCTTGACCTTCGCTCGTAAAAATTACCCCTGCGTCCCCCCCTCACATTACCAACACCATTATTGTTATTATTACCAACGTTATTATTGTTATTGTTCCCCCCTGCGTTAGATCTTTGATTCCACGATCTCTGCTGTCTTACACGGTTTCCCCCTCGATATCCTCGTTGTGAAGGTGGGTCTGAACGTGGAGGTGCTGGTGGACCATATGGGTTTGGGTTTTCAGGTGGTCTAAAACTATCCATAGTGTTTGATTGCATGAATAAAAAGTACGTTTTAGATAATGTAAATGAATTAATAAAAAAAAAAAAAAAAAAAAAAACTAAATTATTTTTTTTTTATCATATAATGAAAAAAAAAAATTAGCAAGAAATATAATAAAAGGTTTGTTTGTAAGAATTGTAAAAGGTATAATAAAAGTGGGGAGAGTAAAATTTATTCTGTGAAAATGTGGAAATTTACTCTTTTTTAAGAAATTAGCGTAAACGAAAACGTCTACAATGATTATATTAAGGAATGCAATTTTTTCGAGATATCGGTATTTATTTAAAAAAAAAAAAAAAAAAAAAAAAAAATTGAGTTGCCTAAACCCCTTTTTTCCCTTTTTTCAACCTATAAAATTACACAAATTTCTCACCAAACGCAGTCCGCAGCAGCAGAATTATAACGAGTGTAAGTTAGATTTTGTTCAGTTAATTGGTAAAGATTATTTAATTTTAAGATTCGTCATTGTTTTTAAGAAAGAAAGAAATTCTGGTTTAATGTAACATAGCTACCTAATTTGTGGCTTTATAATAAACAAATATGCAAAGGTTAAGGACATTATCTAATCAGCTGACATCAGAGAATAAAAATATTCCAACTTTATTTGCAATTCAGTTCATGGGATTTATAAACAATGTTTTTTTTTTAGAAATAATGTTATAATGATACAATGGCACATCCCGGGACCCGAGACCCAAGTTCCAAAATCGTGGTTTTATTTTATTATATTATATATATATATATATATATGTATTGTATAGGAAAATCCTCGAATTTCTTTTTTTCTTGTAATTTCTAAATACATATTCGTAAAGAAGATACAACATGATGTTACACGTACTCGAATCTGCGCCACGGGTGTTAAATGATGACATTTGGACATCTTTATTACGTAATATTTGGGATGGTTTGCATGTGTCACGAGAATCGAAGATCTATTTGCATGCTTAGAAATTCATTCAACATAAAACATATGATATGAGTTTCCGTTTGAACTTTGAACTTGGAAATCAAATCAAATTTTTTTATTCTATTTTGTTTGTAGAAAAAAAGAATCTTCCAAACAAACGAGTCAAGTCTTATTGTCATCGATTTGTTTTGATGGTTAACTTCAAATTATTTAATCGTCATTTTGATAAAACGCGTTTCATTACGAATAGTACGTGTATTGCAGATCTCTTGGAGTTTCACGTGATTATACAATAAAATTGAATGGATTATTTTATTTCAGTCAAACACGGTCAACATGAAGCCTGCCAATAAAGTAGATATTCGTGACTATCTCAAAAGGCATCCTGACCTACGAGTTAAGGATTTAGATAAAGAGGCCTGGTACTGGAGCGATTTTTCCAACCAAAAGAACTTTAATCCAAAATTATTTAACGAAATACTCAAGTTTTGGTCAAATGTCTTGATTGAAACAAGCAAACGCGGCTGGTTGGGTAAAGACATTCTTTGTATTAATCGTGAAGGTTTAGAAGAAATATTTTCCACGTATAACGGTGTTTCTCCAGCAGGCTTAAATTGTGTTATTGTATGACAAAATTCTTTTCTACTTCGTGTTCAAAACTTTTTCAAATTATTAACTCGTTTTCTTTTTATTTTCTTCTTAGCAAGAATTATTCATCTCCTTAGAATTAATTCCTGCTGAAAATTTTCGTTCTTCTATGTTATCGAATCATTCTTGGTCTGGATGGATTTTACAGTCATTATCGTGGGGATTACAAAAAATGATGGGTTCTAACAATGTTTTAGATGCAAAAAAGTTTGTAGTAATGCCTACTTTAAAGGAGGCTGCAGATCGCGTTCTTCAACATCATGAAAAAAATGCAATTCATGGAATCACGGATAACCTTTATACTTTAACTTCATTTAAGGCCGAATACGCTGCCTTGGCTGTTCCAGGCGTTGTATTATCAGATACTGACCTTACGATGTTGGTATCTTATCTAGAATTTGAACAAAGAATGTTGATTACAGAAGCTTGGCATGGAAATGAGGAAAAAGAAGATGAAATTGTGAGCATAATATAATGTTATTTTGTCCGATTGTGTTGTTTATTAAATTTTTAGTAATGCTTATACTTATACTACCAGATAATTAAAATGCGATCCAAAAAAGAAAAATATCTTTCCAAGCTTGAATTTACTAAATCAGATCGTGGAATTATTTGTATTAAGGAAACGAGTAAGAAATTACGTAAACAAGTCGAAGATGTCGAAATTAAAATGGCAGAGTAGGTATTGATATAATAATTTTTTTTTCATGAATATAGAAATTTGTTTATATATATTTATATTTTATGTTTAGCTTGAATAAGAAGATAACTGGATATTTAATTCGTAAACAAAAGGTGCAAGCGAAATATTCTTTAAGACAAAAAAAGAATCTTGAACTTATCTTATCAAAAAGAATGGGTTCTTTGGATGCTATTGAGGGAGTTCTTTTGAAAATTCAAGGAGCTGCGAGTGATACTGAAGTAAGGAATCATTTTCTAATTATAATATAAATGATTGAATATTTTTTTTTTTTTTTTTTTTTTTTTTGAGAACTAAGACTTAATCATTTGTACATATCAAAAAGATCATTGATATGTATGGTTTAGGAGCCAATGCTTTGAAAGGTGTTTTGGCTTCTGAAGGAATTACGGCTGAATCTGTGGATGCAACAATGGATAAATTACAGGATGCCCTTGCAGATCAGAAAGAAATAGATGATGCAATGAAAGTGAATCAAACTTTGATCGAAACATCACTTGAAATAGATGAAGATTTAGAGAAAGAGTTAGAAGCATTGTTGGAAGAAGAGGAGTCCACTAAATCAACACCAACGAAACAACCAGTGCCTCAACCGATCACAGAGTCTACAGTGTCTCAAACAATTGAGGAATATACAGTGAAGAATGTTATTGATGAAGAACTGAAGGAGCTTGAAATGATGTTTTCAGAAATGGAAGCTGCACCTCAACATACTCCAAAAATTGTTGATAGTAATTCACAAAAAGAGAATATCGTGCTTACTTCTGAATGAACGTCACATGCATATTTATTATAATCTAACATAAAAAACAATCGCAAATTCTTAACTCGTTATTTAATTATCATTATAATTAGAAATCTTTTATTTTATTTCTTCTTTTCTTGTATATCTCTAACATATTGTTCATATTCCAAGCCTTCTTTTATATGGTACATTACCATCAACAAATTGCCAATAAAGATGGTATTGGATAAATAAGAAGATTATTTGCCGATATCTGCAGGATTTTGAAATTTTTTATTTTTTGTTTAAAGAACTTTTTATATTTTAGAGCATAGTTACTAATTAAATTAACATATTTAAAATCTAAATATATAGATTTGTATTAATAGCATACCTTTAAATATTATTTCTATATAAATAAATCATTTGTCTATTAGGTATTTAAAAAAAAAGATTTGAATAGTTAATAATACAATCCTTCTGATAAAATATTATATTACATAAATTTTTTTTTTTTTAAATAATATTAAAAAATAAAAATAAAATCTTTTATTTTAAAAAAATTATTATTTATCAAAATAAGTATCTATTATAACAATTATTTTATGACTTAATATTTGTATAAATTAAAAAATAAATTTCTTTAAATTTAAGCATTATTTTTTAAATCATTTTTAGAGAAAATTTTTATTTATAATCAACATTTATTAAAATTTATTAATAAAACTTTATCGAAGTTTGTTGAGTGAAGATAGTGACATTTAATTTGAATAGTGTAATACAAAAGATGAGAATTTTCATTTAATATAATCTATTTAATATATTTAAAAATCTTGCTAAAATTTTTAGTAAAATAAACTAATTATTTTATAATAATATAATAGTAATTTCTTCTATCAAATATTAAAATAATATGATAAATATAAAATATGTTAACCATTTTTACTATTAACATTTTTTTTTTTATTTTAATTAAATTATTACAATTAAAATACTAAGTATACTAAAATTAAATCTATTTACTAAATTTAAATATTCTATAATAGGTATTTTACAATATTTAAATGAATTTTTAATTAAATTTAAATCAAAAAATTTCTACATAATTTTATCTATTCAGTTAATTTTGAATATAATAGCCTTTTAATATGATTTAAAAGTGTAATTTTATAAATTTTCTTTACTATCTATTAATTATATAGTATATAAACCTTTTTAAATTAATTTTATTAGTATGTATATAAAATAAAAATAAAATAAAATAAAATAAAATATAGGATAAAATTATCTATATCTTAAATTTAAAACTTTTATTAATTATAATATCTAATGATATTAAATCACTAAAAAAACTGTAATATTTGTATTTTTATAATAAATTAATTTTTAACTAAATCAATTATATATATACAAAATAATTAAAATTAAAGAAAATACAAATCATTTAATAAAGATCATTTAGTTCAAATATTTTCAATCTATCATAAAGTTTTATTTCTATTAATCTAATCATTTTTATTTACATAAATAAATATATCTTTAAAAAAAAATTTTCTTAAGATATATTTTTAATTTGAAAATAATAACTGGAGATAATTTTGTTTTATTAATTATACATTTAAGAACTATTTGTATAAATACTGTATTTTTAATTATTATTGAATTGGATATATCAAAAGTAAATAAAGTTTTATCTATATTTACAATTAAATATAAAGAATAATTATATTGATTATATTTATTTAAAATATAATTTAAAAAATTATTTTTTTCTTTTAAATTTTTAGAAAAATATTATATTAAAGTTATATAATGTTATAATGTTTAATTAATAAATTATATTAATTTAAAAACTATTAATCTATTTATTTAAAATTTAAATATTTGTATATCTAATAAGTTTTGAAGATTTGTATTTATATAAGTAATAATACTGTTGTAATTATTAATAATTGTATAATAAAATTTTATAATTATTATTGTAATCAAATAAAATATCTTTTAATTATAAATAATTTTTCTTATATAATTTAAGTATTTTAAAAATATATTAATTAAATTTTTTTTTTTTTATTTATCTAATCTTTCAATTGTTTTAATTGGATATTAATATTAAATATATTAAATATATTATTTTCATTCATATAATAATCTTTAAATTTTTCTTAAACATATTAATATCTTTGTAATTTTATTTATTATTCTTACTTTTAAAATATTCAAAAAATATTTTTAAAGAAAAAAATATTACAAAAAGCATTTTATAGTAATTTATAATAATTTATAATAATTTAAAACTTAAAATTTTAAATTAAAATATATATAAAAATAATATAATTAATATTATTATATATAAATAGAAAAAATATATTTGTAACATCCTATTACATATCTTATTTATAACACCTTTTTTTTATTTTTCTTAATAATAAATTATTTTATTAAATATTTTATAAATAAGATTTTTAAATGCAAAATTTAATTTA